GCGATCGCGAAACATTTTTGGTGGTCCGGGTTGGATACTAACATGAAGGCCTACGTTAGTACCTGCCCTTCTTGTCAGCGCAATAAGGCTTCAAATCAAAAGCCAGGCGCACTGCTGCAGCCCCTTCNCATTCCAGATAACGTTTGGGATAGTGTGTCAATGGATTTGGTCACACAGCTACCCACAACCCGCAATGGGCATGACGCGATAGTAGTGTTCGTGGACCGCCTGAGCAAGATGACGCACTTCGCTCCCACAACCACATCCGTCGGTGCGGAAGATCTAGCCCGCCTCTTTGTGGCTACGGTTTTCAAACAGCACGGCCTTCCACAGAATATTGTGTCTGACCGGGACACACGCTTCACAAGCAACTTTTGGAAGGAAACATTTCGCCTGCTAGGCACCCACCTCTATATGAGCACAGCCTACCATCCGCAGACTGATGGTCAAACCGAGCGAATGAATCGCTTGCTAGAAGAGACACTGAGGCACTATATTTCGCCCACTCAGGATGATTGGGACGAACACCTGCCACTCATCGAGTTTGCTATTAATAACTCGAGGCAGAGCTCAACGGGTGCCACCCCGTTTAGCCTTAATGGTATCAAGCAGCCACGTGTGCCGGTTGACTTGCACCTAAAAACCAAAGTGCCTGCCGCTGACCGCTATCCCAAGGTCATGCGCAAACGTATTGAAAACGCAAAACAGTGTCTTAAAGCTGCTCAATCCCGCCAGTGCATTGTCGTCGACAAGCATCGGCGTGCGGTGCGTTTTGAGGTTGGGAACTCCGTGCTGCTCAGCACCCGCAACATCCAGTTGAAATCTCCTGGAGCAAAGAAATTATTGCCTAAGTTTATTGGGCCATATAAGGTTGTCGCCCGAGTGGGAGAGAACGCGGTAAAATTGGGATTACCCGCGACTTCCCGACTCCATCCGGTCTTCCACGTATCCTTGCTCANACCATTCAAGGACGATGGAACACGACAACCGCCGCCCCCGTTCATAATTGACGAAGAGCCATATTACATGGTTGAGGCACTACTTGAC